AAGGCGGCCCCGCCCCGTCCCCACCCGGCCTCACCTGTGCCCGCGTTGGAACCGGAACTGGGCGCTCTCCTGGGATGGGAGAGGCCGGGCCGGGGGGTCGCGCTCCGCACCCCCAGGTGCTGCGGGTACAGCGCACCCACCTCTTCCCGCCCCGCCAGAGCGGGGTCGGACTCGAGACCCTCACCTGCCTGGCCGGTTCGGGAGCCACTTCCCCACCTCCTCGCCTTGTTCAGCGCTAGGAGTTCCCTCTTTCCCTTCCAGTACCCAGCTCCAGTGGTCGTCCTCCCCCAACTTTCTCAACCTGAATTCCCAGGAGCCTAGTTTCTCCCCTTCGCACCCGGCCCTGCCCACCGCCCCTTTTCCCAGGTCTCCTCAACAGCCAACCCCTCCTTCCGGCCCCACCTCTGGCTGTTTGGGAAGAGCACGGCCTTGGACCTGGGTTTGCGCCATCACTAAGCCATGTAACCTGACACTCCCCCCCTCCCCAAGCCTATTTGCTCACCGGCAAGTGGGGGTGATACCACCCCTAACCGGGCTGTTAAAGCAAGGCATACCGGCTGCAGAGGTGCACAAGCAAGAGCTCATTTCCTTCCTTTCTTCCCAGGCCTGTACCTGGACCCGCCCCAAGCTGAGAAGAGGGCAAGTCTGGACTCTCTCACTGGCAAACACCTGGGCTTTCTGCAGGAAGAAAAGCTGGGCAGAAGGGTTCTCTCCTGAGGCCCGTTTGTGCCCTGTGCAGGGACCTTCACACCCTTGCCTGGTCACCACAAATTCAGGAGCCAGGACTTGGCCCATCCTATTAGGACTTTTGGAGAACTTTGGCTGAAGGCCATTGGCACAGCCTCTTGGAAGGCAAATACGTTTCACACATACATCACCTGGAAGCCTCCAGGGCCTTCACAGGCTAGGGAAACCTCAACCAGGAAATTCAGGTTATCCACACTGGCTACTGCCTTAAGAGCTAACAACCACAGACACCTTCCCACCTCACGTCCCTTATCAAGGGTCTCCCTTCACTCTGTCATCTACCAGACTCTGTGCCTTTCAAATTCTCCCTCCCCAAGTCCTCAGGTCACCTCTTTCCTCCACCCCTACTTCCAGCATCTGAATCCAGGTGCTCAGCACCTTGTCGGCACCAGCATGGCAGTCCCTCCCCAGTTTCCTCACCTCTGGCCTCTGACTTCGGAGACTGCCAACCTGGCACTCCAGATCCTTCAGCTTATGCTGCACAACTCCCACACACCTATCACCACCTCAGCCAGGACAGTCTGCCCCCAGTACCACACCCACCTTGGCTTTCCTGCCTCTGCAGCTAGTGGGGGCTCTTTCCATGTGCCTGGAATCCTCCCCTACCCAAATCCATCCACCAAAGTGCACACCCTTCAGGACGTACCTCACCCCAGAGGGGAACCTGGGACTTCCAAACCCCACAGCCCCTCTTATCTCTACAGATATGGTGCCTCCTGTCCCAATAGGAGTGTGAACACTCAAGTGCAGAAGTCATTCCATCCCATGCCTTCTGGGGAACCACTACTCGCCAAGGATGGAGTGACCAAATGATGGAAGGACTAGGTACTCAGAGGTTCAGAGAACCCATGGGGCCATTCAGGCCATGCTAGCTGTACAGGACTGAGCATGGGCTTCAAGAAGGGAGGGTGCCTCATAGAAAACACTTCTGGTTCCACAGTCCTCTGCTGAGAGTCAGCTCTGCACAGGTGAACAAGCCCCCACTCATGGACCCTGCATATAAGTTGCAGAGCACTCTGAAAGAAGGTGGGTTTTCCATTACGTGCCAGACCTCCAATACTCAAACTCAAATATACAGTGCCAGCCCACAGCTCCTATTTACATGGGAACACAGGCCACCCGTGGCCTTTAGCCCAGGAAGTCAAGGGTCACTGTTCCCCTTTGAAAAGGGAGAAGTTAGAGGTTCTCAGAGCAGTTGGTATGCCCCACTATACCTGCCACCTGTGGGAGGCCCCCCCATCACTGCCTCTCCATGCACACTGCTGGTGATCTAAACTCTGACGGTGCCTGTCAAGATCATCCCAAGGCTGTGTGTGGGAGCACACCAAGCCCCAGTGGCACACTGGTGCTGCCCAAAGCACTGTCTGTACCAGGGATCCATATTAGCCACCAATCCTTGTAATTATGTCCCCAGCATCATTTATTAACCATTCCCCCAATCTCTCTTTCCTGCTCTCCTCTGGTCACTTTTCCAGCATTAGAACCAGGAGGTTCTCCCCATCATGGCAGAGAAAGTGATCCAGAAGAGGGCAATTAACCAAAGTCACCAATGAGTGGGCAGCAGAACCTAGCCTGGAATCCCCAGGCCACCTGACACAGGAAGGTCAGGTAAGGGGAGGACAGGCCAGGAAATCCAAAATGAAAACCCAGGTCTCAGGAATGAATGCATCCAAAACAGTCCTGAACAGAGGACCAAGAGGAGATGAAAGGGGAACTAAAAGAGGCAATTACCCTGACTCCAGACCCAACCCTCGAGTCATGGATCTCAATTTCAATGGACAAAACTCAGTCTGACATACATCATTTTTAAATAATAAAATCTCTAAGACATTTTAATTGGACATTAGCACAAAGTTTTGATAACTAATGTAAATGAGCGCTGCTTACACAGAAAAGTATGCCTGCTGGTGAGCCACACAGATGGTGCTCAGACTCAGGTTGTGTATGCCCCCAAAGGCTCACTTCATTGCTGGGATTCTCTAACTAAATCCACATTCACAACTACCCCCTCAGACCCTCTGAAGGAGAGTCCAGGGGCTAGCTGGACCTGAACAGCATGTAGAGCACAGGCAGTGTGGCCACAAATGTCAAACAGGTGGCCAGCGTGCTAAAGATGGTGTTCCTGTTGACTTGGGCTTCTAGCCTCTGCTCCATATCTGACAGTGCCAAGATCATGCTCCCCTGCTCCAGCAAGGAGCTGGGCACAGCCTTGTCTCCTGGCTCCACTGGGCCTGTATGTGCTGCAGACTTTGCAAGTTGAACCACCCCGGCCACTTGGCTGAAAGTCTTTTCCAGGCCATCAAGCTGCTCTTGTAAACCCTCTAGACATGAATGGACCTGCTTGGAATGACTGAGCTGCTCTTCCAATGCAGCTGAAAGGACATCTGTGTTTCTGTCCTGGGTAGGGGAAGTATCTGCCCGTGACCCAGAGCCCTGCCCCAGCCCAGCATGCACCAGACCCCTCAGGTCCCCCATGAGGTCATGGAGGTCTCTCTGCTGGAGGGAGTAGCTAGACGCCTGTTCTCGGATGGCCTCTTGGAGACTCACAGGCCCCTTCTGTGCCTCCAGGAGCAAGGCCTTCAGCTCCTGTAACCGTACACGGTTCACATATGTAGAGCCAGCCACACCAATCAGGGCTCCCAGGACTGACCCAATGAGGGACCAGTTCTTGGTCCTCTCAGCCCTTGTGCGCTCCTTCTCATGACTTTCCCGCACAGCAGCAGAGAAGAGGGAAAATTTCTCTCGCTCAGCGTCCTCTGCACGCAGATAGGCCATGCGAAGCCTCTTCTCCTCCTGCAGAAGCAAAGCTGTGTTACACAGTAGCAAGGCATCCCTGCAGCTGTAGCCACCAGATGGCCCACTACTTTGCACCTGGCACAGACTACATGCTCCATAAACACATGCAGAATGAATGAAAGCCTCATAAATCTGGGCGGGTGGGGGGACCAAAGGAATTGGAAGTGGTTGAAGTGAGTTGTGTGATATTCCCACCTGAGTAGTCTTGGGTTTGACCAGACCTGCAGTGACATTACAGAATGTGTCTAAAGGAAGGGAAGTGTCTGGCGCTCCCTAGGCCAGTCCCTCCTTGCTACTCCCTCCTCAGCAACCTGGGTTCCAGACTATACAGCCCTGGACTACTGCCCCTAGTACTCCAAGAGGAAGTAGCTGGACAGGATCTGGAAGCCTGAGGTCCTGTACCTCCATAGGAGTTTCTGGTTCACCTCTTCACTAGGCTTCTGACCACCAGACCAGTCAAGGTTCCCACCCGGCAGGCTAGAGTGCCTGTCCAGGTGAGAAAGGGCTGCCTTCAGAAGTGCTTACCTGCAGCATCCTGTGCTCCAGAGTAGCCAGTTCCAGGTACTGGTTGTCCTCCCTGGAGACACGATCCAAGCGGTCCCTCACCTCCTTTAGCTTGGCCTGCTGAACTTCCAAGTCCTCCCGAGCCTCTCGGACAAGCCCACGAGCCACCATGAATACTTTCTCTGCCTGTGGAGAGAACAACAGAGGCCGTCTGCTCATTCTCTCCACACCCACACAGGCTCAGCTCCATTCCCAACAAGGCTGTGGCCAAGAAAAGGTCACTGGAGTGTCAGCTGCACAGAGTAGAAACAAAGTCCCTTAAACACCAATCCTGCTCACCCAGTGGAACTCAAAGTGTAGCCCTGGGCCACACCCATCAGGATCACCAGATTTATCCATTCAAGTAGAAATAACATGCCCCTGAGAAACCTGATAACAGCCAACAGTGCACATAATATGTGTCCACCAAACCCAGCCAATTCTTGCCTGATACAAACCACTGTAAAGAACCTATGTTCTTATGCTGTTTCCCAAGTGCTACCTCATTTATGCCTCATAACAATGCCACGAAAGGCACTGCCATGGTCTTGAGTTTATAGACCCGGGAACCCCAGTGCAGCCAAGCTCACAATCTCCAAGGGGAGAGATGGCACCATGTGCCTCAAAGCCCCCAGCTGAACTCCAGGTTCTTCCCACCTTGCTACCCTGCTCTGTGCCTAAGCAGGAGTCGGAACAGAGTTGGCAGAAAGCATTTCTGCTGCCTCAAAGGACTCGACAACCACAGGCAGCTCTTTCCACCTCACAGTATGCTGCTTCCCGGTGCCTTCTACTTTCAGAAGGGATACCGTGATCACACACAGAAACGCAGCAACCCTCCATCCCCAAACAGTCAATGAAGGAAGTGTTTACTGGCAGCTCTTTCCACCTCACAGTATGCTGCTTCCCGGTGCCTTCTACTTTCAGAAGGGATACCATGATCACACACAGAAACGCAGCAACCCTCCATCCCCAAACAGTCAATGAAGGAAGTGTTTACTGGACTAACAGAAGGGATGTTAATGGCCAGGGACCTACTGGTACACAGTGACTGTTTTCAGGGAAACTGGGGGGCAGAGGTACAAAGAGACTATCGCCCCAGTAGTATCAAACTCAGGTTTCCATGTGAGAAATGAGTCTAATCCCTCCACCAGAAAAGGCAAGTCTGGGTATGGCTCCCCAGCACCATGTGGCTGATAACTTGTTTGGTAGGAGTCACCAAGCCACATTTCCCAAGGCAGAAAGCAGGGCCAACCACCCCGGTTCCCCTCCTCACCTCAGTCACGTTTCCCTGGGCCTCTCGAACCTCATTGAGTCCAACAAACTCTTCATATCTGTCGCACCAAGCCTTGGCTGTGGAGGAGGCTCTTTGCTGAATGCTGTGCCCCAGGGCTCTTCCCAGTGCTGGGAGCCGGTGATACAGCCCAAGGGCCGCCGCCTCAGGTCTTTTCTCTCCAGGCTGGCTGGGGCCTGGGCTGCAGAGAGTCCTTGTCATAAAGAGGTCCCTTCCAAGGAGGCCTCTCCGCACCAGTACGTGGGACACACCCACAGTGTGCTGCATGGCAAACACAGGACTGCACCCTGTCATCGGGAGATCTGTGAGGGGGACGCCAGACAGATCAGCTCGCAGCTGAGAAAGGCTGGACATAAGTCAGGTCTGAAGGCCTGGGGACAGTTCTGAACAGACTAGCCTCCACTTAAATCATTTAAACTGAGCACCACTCTGTTGGGCCTAGAGACTGCAGCCCCCCGAAGCAAGAGGGTGGTCGGGCTTTCCCCTAGGTGTTCTTGGACAACAGAACACATTTGGGGAAGAAATTACATAGGATATCATGCCTCCGACTTCCCTCCTTGACGCCACACAAACCAGAGCCTCCCACTCCACCCACCTCCCGGCATCCCTCAGGTCTCTCTGTTGTGACTTGGATGAGAATCCTGTTGCCCAGTTTAGTGATAATGTCAAAGAAAGTTCTCAACCTGAGTTGTGTCCATGCTGACAATGCCCCACAAATATTCAAGACACCAAGGGAAGTTACGGAACTGAGGGGAATTCATAGAAGATTAAGATCCAGAATCATTTCTCTAAAAGACTCTCAAAACCAACTTCCCAGACTCCCTGAGGGCTGCCTCAGCTCTGGGGAAGCAGAGTTTCAATTATATGCAAGGACATAAGGACACAGGTCATTCACGTCCCAAGGCAAAGAACTCTAAGCTCTCCCCTGAGAGGATAATTCCAAGGAGGAAAAAACTGCTTTCTCCACAAATGACAACTTTTCTTAGGTTCACACCAACCCTTCTCCTCCTGCCCTCCAACCAAACTTTACAAGCTACCAACTCCCGGTCTCACATTTCTCACCTTCCATAAGCTTTCTCCCCTCTCCAACCTTAGTCACTGATCAACAGGTTAGGCTTCTTTAATCTTTCCCTTTTCAACCCTGCTTTGATGTTTGGGCCCTAGCAACACTTACTTCTCATTACCTGAACAGCAGAGGGAGTCTCCCATTATGCAGAGTCAGGCCTTGCCTGAGCCCAAGAGCAGCAGCGACTTTCTTTAAGGACCCCAAAGAGTGGGCCAGGTGACCCATGTTCCTGGGAAAACCTGGTCCTGCAGCTCCCTCCTCTGGCCAGACCACACCTTAAAGACCCCAAGCACTGATCCTGGCTGTCAAAGCGACACCTGGTGGCCAACCAACCAGGCCAGAAAGAAAAATGCACAGGGAGCTGGGGACAGGAAGACTGATGGGAGGAGCTCCCAGTTACAAAATAAGACGAGGGCTTCCTGATACAAGGTGAAGTGGAAGAGACATGCCCATGGCATCCAAGCCTTCTCCCCATCATGCTGCACTGGGAACAGTCCTTGGAGAAGCCCAGGCCCCCTTGAAAATAAAGCTGGTTGCTCAAAGTGGGCCCAAGCCAAGAGCCATAGAAGGGGATATCTCTGTGACACTGGTTCCAAGCTGGTGCTCCATCTGAGCCCCTGGGCCCCATTCATAAGGCCTGGGCAAGCCTCCAGGCCTCAGCACCAGCACCCACAGCACACAGGCTGTGATCTCACAACAGCCCTGCAGGTGTACTCTTCAACAATGCAACAAAGCACACAGCCCTGCAGCCCCGCCAAGCACAGCACCTTCTCAGTGATGCTCGGCAGAAAGGTGTCTGTCCCCCTTGGCTGTCACCACTTCCTCACCCCCCTCCTCTCTTGGTCTCACTCCATGACTGAGGCTGCTCTTCTGGAGGCCCCTCAAAACTTCCGCCTTGCTATATCCAGCAGGTGCTTCTCAGATTTCTTCCCCAACACCCTCTCTTCCTGAAAGCACTGACCCCTCTTGGCTTCATCCAACCTTCTCAGCCTCCTTTTCCTGCCCCTACTCTACTAGCCACACCCACACTTGGATCCAGGAAGGTCACCCATCCCTGGCAGAAATGACAACTACAGCCCCCTATGCAATCTTGGCTTCTTGCTTTGCCTCCCACTGCCTGTTCTCCACATGACAGCCAGAAGCTCTGTGAAAACATGAGTCAGATTATATCCCTCTGTTTAAAACCCCAACAGTTCCCACCTCACCCAGCATGAACACCAGTCCTGGCAGTGGCCAAGAAGCCTACCTCTCAGCCCTCATCTTATTCCTTCTATCTCTGTACCCGCTCCAGCAACCCTGACACACTAAGCATGATCCCGCCACACAGTCTGCGCCCTGCCACTTCCTCAGACTAGACCACTCACTCACTCTTCCTCCATAAGTCTACTCCCCTCACCCTGACATCTATGCCTTCACTGAAATGTCACCTCTCAGCAAGGCCTTCCTTGACCACTCCCTCCCAGGCCACCTGCTTTGTTTTTTTCCATCAGACACATATTTCTTTGCTTATGTGTTGGCTAGCCCCTCACTAGAACATAAACTTGTTGACAGCAGGGACTTTGCCGTATGAGGGAATGTGTCAATAACTCCAAGTTGTTTCTCCACTCCAGTCCCTCCTCTCACAGACTCTTCACCCCACCCCACCACCCAGCCTGTCGCTCAGCCCACCTAGATGTCTCACAGCCCTCTCAACCAGCAAGGAGAAGAATGCTCCTGGCAGAGGAAAAAGGCAAAAAGCGCTTGAGGTTGTCCAAAACCTGAAAGGCAGCCAGTGCAGCTGGCAAGTAGAAGCAGAGAAGAGTGGACGGAGGAGAGCCTGGACAAGTGGACAGAGGCCAAATTAAATAGGGTCCTGAGGGCCAAGGTCAGGATCTTGCCCCTCCAAATCCATTCTCTCACTCCATCTAGATGACTGTCTTCCACCAACTGCCCTTTCCTCAAACCTCCATCACCTGTACCTCATCCTCACTTGCAGCTAATGGCTTGCTTCATTCTTCACCAAGAAAATAATTTAAAAATTGGAAGAGGGCCGAGCCCGTGGCACACTCGGGAGGGTGCGGCACTGGGAGCGCAGCAGTGCTCCCGCCGCGGGTTCGGATCCTATATAGGGATGACCGGTGCGCTCACAGCGCTCACTAGCTGAGCGTGGTGCGACCAGTCTCAAAAATGACAAAAAAAAAAAAAAATTGGAAGAGAACTTCTACAAACTCCCACCATACCTTCCCAACTGCCAGAATCTGCCCCACTTCCACTTTCTCTTTTGATCCTTGGGATGACAAATCCATGATCCTAGGAAAGATCAACCTGTGCCCCAAGTCCTGTGTACTCTCCCCTCCTCAGGCACTGCTCAATAATGATCTGACACCCCCTCCAGTAACTACCCCATTTCTCTGCTCCGCTTGTAAAACCAATTCCCTTGACAGATTATCTGAACTCACTGTCTCCAGTTCCTCTTCTCCCATTCTCTCTTAAACCCTCTCTGATCTGGTCTTCACTCCTACCATGTCACTGGAACTGCTCTTACCCAGGTCACGTCCACACTGCTAAATACAATGATCAGTTCTCAGTTCTCATCTCACTCACCCTGTCAGCAGCCTGTGCCTCATGATAGCTCCCTCCTCCTTCAAATGCCATTTTTACTTGGTTTCCAGATACCATTCATCTCCCTAACCTCTGGACATTGTGATGACGCCGAGCTCGATGTTCAGACTCCTCTCTCATCAGAGCGTGTGATTTTAAAAACCATCTATGAAAATGTTCTAAAATTGATTGTGGTGATGGTTGTGCAACTCTGTGAATATACTAAAAACTACTGAATTATACACATTAAATGAATGAATTGTATGGTATGTAAATTATATTTCAGTAAAGCTGTTATTTAAAAGAAAAAAAAAAAACTATACTGACTTCTCCAGCCTATATCTCTCCTCAAGGTTCCAGGCTCATTTATTGAACTGCCCAACCCATATCTCTGCTTGAAAATCTAATGCGGATCTCATCTTCCCCTCCCAAACCTTTTTTTCCCATGGTCCTCTTCATCTTGGTTGACAGCAACCCCAAGTACAAATACTCAAGCCCAAAACCTTGCATCATCCCTGACTATTCACTTTCTCTCCTACCTCACGTCCAACCTATCAGCAAATGCCACTAGTTTTCTAAATCCAGGATCCCTCCTCTTCTTACATCTGCCAGTGCTACCAGGTGGTCCCAATGACCAACATCTCTTGCATGGATTATCCCAAGAGCCTCCTGACAGATGTCTCCCTGCCTCTACTCCAGCCCCTACAGTCTACAGTCAACAGAGTAGCCAGCGGTCTTTTCAAAACACAGGTGAGACCATGTCTCACTCTGCTCAAACCCTACCATAACTCCCTATTACTCTCAAGGTAAATGCCAAAGTCTTTTCCATGGCCTACAGGGCATGGCTCTCGTTCCTCCCTTTCCTCACTCCACTCCAGTCACATAGGCCCACCTCAGGGCCTCCGCACCAGCTGTCTGCTGTCTGCACTGCTTGCTCCCTCACCTCCTTCAAGCCCTGCTCAAATGTCAGCTCCTGGGGAAGTCTTTCCTAACCACCCTATCAGAAATCGCCATCCCACCCCCACCCTTGCATTCCTTACCCACTTTCCCTTCTTTATTTTTCTTCGCACATATATCATGTAACCTGCAACATGAATTTCACTTACTTTCTTTGCTTACAGTCTGTCTCACCCACTACAATGTCAGCTCTGCCAGGGCAGGCAGTTTTGTTCACTGCTGTATCTCCAGTATCTACAATACTATCTACATACAGTACATACTCAACAAAATGTACTGCGTGAATAAACAGAATTCGCAACGGGTGCACGCCTGACTACACTGTAAAACCCAAACTTCTTCCATTGGCTTCCAAAGCTCTTGGACATGGTGATCTAGCCCCCGCCCACTTGTGCCACCTCCCCTCCTATCTCCTTCCAGTCACGCTGTGCTTTCCTCGGTTCCAGGTACGTGTAGTGCTTCCAGGACTTTGCGCGTGCGGTTCCCTCTACCTGCAGTGCTGTTCCCGTGCACGGTCACAGGCCTGGCGCCTCTCGGTTAAGGAACTCTTGCGTGGTTCCGGATCCTCCCCAGCAGGACAACTCTACCCTCTCGTACTTCGCGTGCCTACAGCAACCGAGCTGCAACCCCCAGACAGCTTCTGCCGCTCAGTTGACCTCTGACCCGTTAGTACCCGCCCCTGGAGGGCCGCATCCGGTAACGGAAGCAACTTCCTGACTAAGAGCCAATCAGCAGGCCCATGTCACGGTACAGGAGTGGGGGTGGGACCGTGAGCTCCATTTCTGGTGGTAGGGTTTGGGGAAGGGGCGGTAGGCGCCATGTCCGGCCGTGAAGGTAAGTGTACTGGGTTTGCGGGGACGGCAGGGCGGAGACCGGACGGCGGGGACGGGCTGAACGTGCACGTGTCGCCCACAGGTGGCAAGAAGAAGCCCCTGAAACAGCCCAAGAAGCAGGCCAAGGAGATGGACGAGGTGAGGGCGGGAGCGGAGGCGCGGGCGGGCGCGAAGGGACCGGGGACCGGCCTGGAGTGAATCCGCTCTGCCCCTCCTTAGGAAGACAAGGCTTTCAAGCAAAAACAAAAAGAGGAGCAGAAGAAACTAGAGGAACTGAAAGCGAAGGCCGCGGGGAAAGGCCCCCTGGGTAAGTGAGGGCCGAATGGCGCTCGAGCCGTACAAACGCTCGGAGCGCCAGTTGGGATGAGGGCCCGGGCGAGTCTCTTGCCTGCCTCGTTGGTGAACTGCGAGGTCTCGGTTCCTGTCGTCCGCTACGGCGGCCGGCCGTAGCTGCTCCTGGATTTGCAGCAGCTGGAAGGGGCGGGAGCCAGAACCGGGTCTGGAATTTATTTACCTGAGACGCAGATTCACTTCTGAGTGCGCCTAAAGGATGAAGTCTAGACTCCTCGGCGTGCCATTGCTCCATATACTTTTTTAACCTAACCCCCTACCATTTTGCTTCTTCTTTTCCTTTATGTGAGAGGAATCGATTACGTTTTAAAAGATTTTTTAGGCCCAGCACTTTATGTGCTACTTAAACGCTGTTTTACATTCATCAAACTAGTGATTATTTCCTCCACAGTTATCTCTGTCCTATTTGAGCACTGTGAGCCACACTAGAGACGAGGAAGGTAGGAGTGTCATCCAGGGCTTCCCAATTCCCCTATCCCAGGGAGTTTGGTCCATCATTGTTTACCCACACGGTCCTGAGGTTCTAGCTATTGAGATTGCTTTTCGGAATGATGTGAAGTACCTTGCACCTTTTCTTAATCTGTGATTGTGTATACAGAGAAAGTCAATCCTTAGTGAAACTCTATACTACTTGTTTTTCATTGATTATCATCTAATTTTTTTAGGGTTTATTTTGTCACAGCTCCTTTGAATCTTCATTTCTGTATAAGGCATACATAATAATGCAACTTTTTCTTACATTACCTACTGGGTGCCAAATATATTATCGTTTGTAAGTTGGGTAAAATAAAGGTATTGAGTACACCATAACACCAGGGTCAAGGGTTCAGATCCCTTTGGCCAGCTGTCCAAAAAATAAAAGAATGTGGACTTGGAAGTCACCCTACCTTGGTTGAAATCCAGGTTCATCACATACCAGCTTTATAAACTTGAATACCACCACCTACAACTAAGATTTCTTTAACTGTAAAATGAGTTGATATGGCATGAAGATTGAATGAGCTAATCTGTGAAGTACACAATAGTATAGATCCAGACCAGTGCACAGCCATTGCTTGTGCCCCTTCCTCAACCTCATTCTACCTTTGCCCAGAATAGACAACATCGGTAAAGCCACTGTGCATGTTTGTATCAAAGTGAATGCCCAGTACAAGAGCCAAGCCTTACTAGGATCCACATCAGACCCATAGTGCTTCTACTGTAAGAACTGCATTTTCCCCTGACTTTTTTTTTTTCTTTTGCAGCCACAGGTGGAATTAAGAAATCTGGCAAAAAGTAAGCTGTTCCTTGTGCCTGAGGTGATGGTGACCCTTGATTCCATTCTTATTTGAACATCTAGATTCCCTGCCATAACATCTTTTGCCACCTATAGCTAGAATGAAGTGTTGTCGTGGAGCCTGTTGTACATTTAAGAATAAACTTTTGTAAAAAAGAAAGAAAGCAGTCATACGGTGGCTCATTGTCTCTTTAGTTGTTTTCACTCAGCCATTCCTACCTTAGCTGTGAATTTAAAGTAAACAGCCCAGAATCCTGCCAAAGTCTGCTCTTTGGTCTTTGTTCTACCCTGAATTCTGTATCACCTGGAATTAAACCAACTCATTTGAAAAGCTGTCATTCTTGTGTGGTGGTATACCTGACGGGATACCTTACATGAGGGTAGTGAAAGAATTTGTAGTTTGGAAAAGAAAACCCATCTTTCTCTGTGGCATCCAATATGCCATATGTTTTAATGGAGTTATTCATCTGTTTGTGTGCACACACTGGGGCATATAACAGCGAACAGATCCTATTGTCAAGAAACTTTTCTATTGTGGCAGGGAGGCAGGACAAATACATACAATATGCCCTATGAAAGGGAGATTCCTGAAAGTCTCTAAGAACCAGGCTCCCTCAGAAGCCCTCAGGACTGCATTTCCACAAGGGCTTTCCAGAAAAGGCTTTGCTCGGTTCCCATGTCTTATATCCCACATTCAGTCCATCAGCAAAATGGGCTGGCCAGTTAACTGAGTTGGTTAGAGCACGGTGTTATGACACCAAGGTCAAGGGTTCAGATCCCTGTGATAGCCAGCCAGCAAAACAAAAACTCCATCAGCAAAATAAAATGTGATCTCATGTTCCCTCCAATACCATCTTCCCATTCTAACCCTATAATCCTTTACCTGGATTATTGCAATCACCTCCAAATTTATCTTCCTGCCCCTGGCCTTGCTCCCCTGCAGTCTAATCTTCACTCAGGACCCAGGGTGATCTTGTTAAATCGCAAGTCATACTTTATCTCTCTCTGGCTCCGAATTCTTAAGTGGCTTCTTAGAGCAAAAGCCAAAGTCATTACAATGACCAGTGAGGCTCTAAGAGATCTAGACTATTCATAACCCTGGTCCAACTTCAGCCACGGTGCCCTACATTCCAGGTAAGCTGCTTCACTGTTTTCACCAACTTTTGATTCTCTCTGTCACACTATTCTAGATACTGCATACTCCCTTCCTTCCTTTAGAGAAACAAAACTCAAGTATCACGATAGTGAGCGCTTCCCTGATCATTTAAAAGGGCATTCTCAATGTCTCTTGCCCTGTTCTTTTTCTCCTGACTTGATTATCTACCACCCCTCACTACACTAAATTCCAGGAGGATAGAGACCATCCATCGATTTCCCCTTCAGGCCCTTGATACAACTATGAGAATAATGCTAATAATGCTAAACTTTTCTCTGAGGATGTGCTTTCAAAAAGGGCTCTGGAACCATTCTGAGACTTTGCACAGTCGAAACTGGAAAAGGTTTTGATAGATTGGGACCTGTTTTATGACTGTAATGTACTAGATGTTAACAGCCTGCTTCAGTCCTCTCCAGCAAGTTACTGCTCCTTTATTTGATGGAAGCTAATCCTTCCTGACAAATGAAGAACAATCCTGCCTACCTTCAGAACCAGAGACCTGAAGCAATTAAGACTCAAGTGTTCAGGCTGCTTGGTTAGCTAGCTCAGTTGGTTAGATCTCCATGTTATTAATACCAGCGTCAAGGGTTCAGATCCTCCTACCAGCCAGCTGCCAAAAAAAAAGACTTAAGCATTCAACATTTGGGCAGCTATCTGAGGGAGCCTATCAGTTGCTTCAAAAAATTCTATTAAGTCCTTAGACATTCTAGGCCCTGACGGCAATCTCCCTTTTACATAATCTTCCTTACATTTACTCTCCCAAGTTTGGCCCTGAACATGCAACGTTGAGAAGTCTTGCTCCTCTTACTCTCCAATGCTAATCCCCTATTATCCTGTCAGGCACTCAAGCCCAGTTCAAATCCCTGGCCCTCTGTGAAGGATTACCTTCTCTCTCTGCCATAGATAACTCCTACCTGGCACTTGTGTGGTCGGTCTACCATTTGGTGTTGCATTCTTATCTGAGTAGTCATCTCTGCCAGCTTCCTACCCCTTTATCTTACTAACTGCCACTCAACTTGTAGGACAGCCCAGATGCCACTTCCAGGGGGCCTTCCTTGAAGATCCCGAGCCTCACTCATCTCTAAACAACCAGCCTCACTTGTGCGACAAAAAGACTCCAACACTCTCAGAGGAAAGAATGAATCAATGTTAATAGCCCGAGCAGTTCCCATCCCCTCCCACAGGGCCCAGGAGGTACACCGTTCTCAGAACCACCCTTTCTCCTTGGACCTTTCCTCCTTCCCAGACCTACACATGCACACATTTGACATTTACTATTCTGGAAGATGTCTGCTCACAACAGCTCTATTCATAATGCTCGCTCAACCCCATTCTTCCGGCCTCCTCCCCAAGAGATCCACGGGGCATTTGAGAGGTGAGTCTGGCGGGAGGAGGACAGCGAGGCCACAGAGACCAGACCCCTGAATGCTGCCTGCCTCTCAGACGCACACATGTGAATATCAGAGCGAACTGCTCCCACAGGGCTCTGTATTCCAAGGAGTGCCAGGGAGGGGATGCAAAGACACCCGCGCGGTGGGGCTGGTGAGCCTCGGACCCGCATCCCTGGTAACTCCGATCGCATCGCACCGAGTACCCGCCGCAGACCTACCGAGTCCCGGCGGCGGGCAGCAGAGCGCCGGGCGGGGCGGGGCCGAGACAGACAGGGACTCGGCAGAGAGTGGCGGCGCGCTGAAATGTGTGTCATTCCTCCGCGCCCGGCGGCTGGCAGCTGATTGGCCCCATGAGCTCGGGGGCGGGGCACCAGCGGCTGAGGCGGGCGGCTGCGCGCGGGCGGTTGGTCAGACTCTCCCGCCTCGCGACCGGCGGGTCACCCTCCGCGTCCTCGGATCTCTGGGGCCCGCGGGAGGCATGGCTGGGACCTCGGCGCCGGGCAGCAGAAGGCGGAGCGGGCCTCCAGCACCTCTCCCTGGCCCATCGCTCGGCACTGGACACCCCCCGAGCAAGCGAGCCCGGGGCTTCCCCGCGGCCGCTGACCCTGACCCCGAAGACCCGTTTAGTGCTCACGGGGACTTCACCGCAGACGACCTGGAGGAACTCGACACCCTCGCGTCACAGGCCCTGAGCCAGTGCCAGGCCGCGGCTCGGGACGTGTCCAGTGAGTGCTCCTCGGGGCCTCTTCCCCGGAGGGTGGTGCAGACGGCTGCGGCTTTAGAACCCCACGGCGACCGCTGCCCGGGTGTCTTGCACCGATACTGCCCCTTCATCTTTTCAAAAATTAGAACATCCTGACTTAATCATTGGTTGAGTTCCAAAAGGTTTTTTTATTTGAGAGAGAAATGTATTAGGGATATCAAACAGCCAATATAGAAAGCTAGGTTAACATTTTACTTTATTTTCTAAAGTTTAGGCCAATCGGTTCTAGGTTCTAAGCAGAGATCCTTGGAACACAGCTACCACCACCGTCAGAACCATCACAACCATCTCCACGCATGGAGACCCATTCTTGTGACAAGTTTAGGAGGCTTTGGATCTTATGAAGTACACTGTTTTCCTTGGGCAGCATGAGCAAAGGAAAGGCCTGGCAGAGACATGAGATGAAAGAGATTTATTCTTTTATACAACCAGTAGATTGTGCTAGGTGCCCAAATGTTAGGAACTATAGTAGACCTAGCAATGAACAAAATACATAAAGTCCTAACTTCGTGGAGCTTACATTTTAGTTGGGGAATGAGTGAAGTCTTGGGCAGCTCCCATAAAGAGAAAAGTTTTGAGGGCACCTTGCATCTGTACTTGGATGTCACAGGCACCTTAAACTCAGCACAATCATTTCCTGGAAACCCAGTCCTCCTCCAGTATCTCCTGCACGGTGCTGAGCAAAGCAGATATTCAGAAAACACTCGTGATGACCAAATGTTCCACATGGTAGAGACTAGCACCACTCTCCCTCCAATGGCACAAGGCAACTCTTCCCCTTTCCTTGACTCTACATCTAATTCCTTTCCAAATCCTGTCAACTTTACATTCTTAATCCATTTCTGGAATCCATCCTATTCACATCATTTCTACAAAATCCCAGACATATGCTACAATGATTCCTCCCATGGGCAATAGTCTGCTAAATTGGCTCCGCATTTCCAGTCTTGACTCCCTACAAGTCAGACTTCACACAATAGCTAGACAGAGTGGTCTCTTCAAAACTCATATTGGCTGAGTCTTACACAGATACCCAAGAACATCCCTACTGAAAGCCCTTTAATGACTTTCCATTGCCAAAACCAAAATCCTTAACATGGCCTGAATGGCCCAGCATGGTCTAGCCCTTTCCCATTCTCTCTATGGGTGAGTGACACACTAACTTTATTTCATTCTTTGAATTCTCTCTGCCTTCTTACAATACAGGAACTTTACACATTGCTCTTTCTTGTACATTGAGTGTTGTTTCCATCTATTCATCTCTGCTCATCTGGTTAATTCCTGCTTGTCCTTCAGCTCTCAGCTCAATCAAGGCTTCCACAGGGAAGCATTCCAATCATTCCACTTAGGTCAGATTCCCCTGTTATAGGCTTTTCTGTATTTGTTCTCCTTTGCAGCTCTTATCACAGTTGTAATTTTACCTTTTTTCACGTAATTATTTGTTGAATGTCCTGTAAGCTCTGTGGGTGGAGGACTATCCATTTTGCTCACATTGTATCTTTAGAGACTAACATCATGCCTGACATATATCATAGGTGCTCAATAAATATTGTTGAATAGTAAATCACTGAGTTCTGGCCAGTGAGATCCTCACCATACCTTTCAACCTTTAGATGAGACTCTTGAAATTGGGTGGGGAGAGAGTGATAGGATCTGTTATTTCATAAGGATCATTTATGAGCTTGAATCATGTTCTTAGGTTGGAAAATATCTAGATCTAGATCTTTCTCTACTTTTCGTTCTTTTATTTTTTCCTTTTGGCAGCTGGCCAGTACAGGGATCCAAACCCTTGACCTATCAACACCATGCTCTAACCAACTGATCTAACCAGCCAGCCCTACTTTGCTTTCAAAAGTGATTTTATTCAGCATTTTCTGTCAAAAGTAGGAGAATATTGGGTCCTGAAATGTATATTGGAAATGTTTTTTAACAGGTGATCATAAGGTCTCCAGATTAGATGGGATGTCAAAAAATCCTGCAGGGAAAAGCAGAGAAAGTGTTCTGGTTAAAGATAATTTCGAATTAGAGGTACTTCAGGAACAATACAAAGAACTTAAAGAAAAGGTAAGTGATTTAACTTGTGGTTTTTATAGCTAATTCATTCACTTATTCGTGTGTTAGAAAGCATTGTACGGGCCGAGCCCATGGCGCACTCGGGAGAGTGCGGCTCTGGGAGCGCAGCAGCGCTCCCACCGTGGGTTCGGATCCTATATAGGGATGACTGATGCGCTCACAGCGCTCACTGGCTGAGCGCGGTGCGGCCAGTCTCAAAAAGGACAAAAAAAAAAAAAAAAAGCATTGTACAACAAAATATATAAAATTTTTAAAACAACAGTCTAGATTCATCCCCATAAGTGGGAGAAGGCTGGAGAAAGAAAGCCAGAAATTTAAGGCTGAAAGAAACTTAATAGTGAGATTTCTAATAGCCAAGGCAAGAAAGGAAACACTATACACCAGATCCAAAAAGAGATACAAACTATTATAGCACCGAGATGAATTTGTAGTATATAACTTTATATGAAGAAAATAACATCATAATGGTTGTCATTTCCATTAGCAGTTTTGCAAGAAAGCAGAAATCTTTTATATGACCATCTGTAGGCCCCTAAGAATGCCAGGAATATAATGTGGAATTCTACTTCTGTCAAGTGTGTGACCCAGACTGTTAAATGCCTATGAGAGCCTAAAGAATCTGCATGTGTGAGTGACAAGTGTATCCTTAAACTATCTTTCTGAAAATCAGCTGTCCCATGAACAGGCCTAGCAGACCCTGATGATGTCTGGTTGGTATGGATACATTTTGAGCACTCATTGGTCCATAGGACATATTTCTCTTGTGCTTTCTTTGTCCCCCCAGCTACACGTTAAAACAAAGTATGTATGTAATTTTTCCTTACAAACTTTTCACAAGATTAATTTGGATTTACAGCTAAAGACAATGGAAGAAAAAGTCCTCGTTAAGAATGGAGAAATTAAAGTTTTGCGGGACTCACTGCATCGGACAGAATCCATTCTAGAGGAACAGAGAAGATCACATTTCCTTCTTGAGCAAGAGAAAACCCAAGCACTCAGTGACAAAGAAAAGGAATTCTCCAAAAAGGTGACCCAGAGCATTTGTATTGCGTATATGGACACCAGCTTTGCCTGCTTGCTGAGTTCCTTTAGAAGCAATGACCAATGTTGCTTGTGTATCTTCCAGGGAGATTTCAACAGTTGTTTGTCTTAAATGCTTTCTACTATCAGCTAATTGCCATGCACTTTTCTTCCTGGGTCTGTGTGTGGTTTGGAAAAGGACAGATGAAACTCTGCTTTGCTGTGGTAGTTGGTCTTGACAGGAATAAATCATTATCTTAGAATGTTTAGAAACAAACTTAAATTAGGTCTCTTGGTAGATCAGAAAGTCAGTTGACCTAGCTTAGGCAAAAAGGAAATGTATTGGCTTCCATAACCAAGTCTGGCAAAAACAGGGGTGTGTTTGGGCCTCAAATGACTTAAACCTTGCCAGGGCACATTTTTATTCTCTATGCTATAGACAGCAACATCGTTATGGTAGAGGATGTGTTCTCCAGAAGCTCTTGGGCTCATATTTCATAACTCCAGAGCAGAATTAAAATTTAGGCTCCATCATCTCGAGTTTTAAAATTCTGAGGAAGGCTCTGATTGGTCTAACTTGAGTCAGGTGCTTGTCCCTGGACCAGTCGCTAGAACCATAAAGATGACAGTTCCCATTTTGAATCACATGGTCAGATGTAGGGAAATGATTGTTTCTCAGGGACAGAGAGTTACTGTTCTGGGAAGAAAAATAGTAGTGGTCCATGTATTAGTCCGTTTTGTGTTGCTATAACAGAATACCTGAGACTGGGTAGTTTATAAAGAACAGGGGTTTATTTGGCTTACGATTCTGGGACAGCTGCATCTGGCATGGGCCTCAGGCTGCTTCTACTCATAGCGGAAAGTGTCAGGCAGCTGGTGGGTATAAGTGGATCACATGGCAAGAGGAAGCAACAGAGAGAAAGAAAGAAGGTGCCAGGGTCTTTTAAGCAATTAGCTCTTGCGGGAACTAGTAGAGCAAGAACTCATTCATTAATCCCCTCTCCCCCAGGAGAACATTACTCCATTCATGAGGGATCCACCCCCATGACCCAATCAGTCTCCAACACTGCCAGATTGGGGGTCAAATTTCCACATGAGTTTTGGAGGAGACAACACATCCAAACTCCATCAGTCCAGTACATACCACTACTTTCCTTCAGCACTTCAATCTCAAGGACATGGGGTCTAATTCTGCCATTACTTCATTCAGCAAGCTTAGCAAACTCTAAATAAGCACTTACCTGTGCCCAGCACTAACAACAGGAGTTTACTTTCCATATGTGAAGAGCAAGGAATTTGCAGTCAGAGTTTGAATCCAGGCTTCATTACCTACAAGTGGTGACTTCAAAGTAATGGCTTAAGCTCTGTGACTCATTTGCCTTATCTGTTCCAGAAAATATTCAGAAAGGTTGTTGGTAGACTCAATCATTCCTGCACTTACTGTCTGGTGCTATGCCTTGGGGGAGTGTGCTTGGGGAATGATGGCAGTTACCGTTGCTGTAGGCCCTGGGGGACAGAGCAGCAGGTCTCCCTGTACTGCACAGGGTTTTGGTAAAATTATTCCAAATACTGTGCACAGACTTTCAAAAAGACCTGGAATTGTGCACCACTGCATTCATTAAAAGGTTAACATGTTACTGCTAAGATATGGTACTTTGCTGAGCTTTGTATTTGGTATTTTATATTGATCATTCTATGTAATCTCTGCGCCTCTCTCCCACCCCCCACAACTATGCTAAAGACAGATATTTAATGTTATAAATAAGCTAAGGTTCAGAGAGACTAAGTAAATGGTAGGGATGGTCTATGAACCCTCACAAACTACCTTCACAATAGTTCGAGTCAAGTATCTTTCTAGAGTACCATACCGTCTTTGAGAAAGAAAGCTAACATTTGATACTTTAGGACATTTATACCACAGCAGAGTTTCATACATATTTTGCATTGTTTTTCCTTTACTTGCTTAGGATTTTGAAGCCAAGAGACATTTTTCGTGTAGGTGGTAGGGCCACTATAAGTATGTTTCTTTTACCTTCCAGCTCCAATCATTGCAGTCTCAACTCCAGTTTAAAGATGCAGAGATGAACGAGTTAAGGACAAAACTTCACAGCAGTGAACGAGCAAATAAACTGGCTACTCCCTCTGTTTCCCATGCCAGGTAATGATAGTGCTGGAGGGATCGTTCAGTTTTTGGTTTTTTTTTTTTCCTTTTTGTCTTTTTTACTGACCGGTAACGGGATCGCAACCCGGTACGGGGACCGGCAATGGGATCACTTTTGGTTTTTTTTTTTTTCCTTTTTGTCTTTTTTACTGACCGGTAACGGGATCGCAACCCGGTACGGGGACCGGCAACGGGATCACAACCCTTGGTGCTGCGCCCGCACCGCGCTCAGCCAGTGAGCGGGAACCGGTCTCCACATGGGATCCGAACCCTTGGCGGGAGCACCGCCACACTCCCAAGCAGCGGACTCTCCGGTGCGCCACTCTCCGGTGCGCCACCGGGCCGGCCCAGGATCGTTCAGTTTTGCATAACAAAGTCTACATAACAATGTCAGGCTAATTCTAAATGAAGGCAGTTTAAACTCTGCCACCTGGGAAGAGATTCTCATTCCTGAAGGATTCAAAAGTGGTTTGAGGGGCCGGCCCGGTGGCGCACTGCTACAGTGCGCCGCTTGGGAAGCGCAGCAGCGCTCCCGCCGAGGGTTCGGATCCCACATACAGACCGGCCGCTCACTGGCTGAGCGAGGTGCGGGAGCAACACCGAGGGTTGCGATCCCGTTGCCGGTCCCGGTCCAGTACGGGCGTGACACTGAGGGTTGCGATCCGTTGCCGGTCACGAAAAAAGACAAAAAGGAAAAAAAAAAAAGTGGTTTGAATGAGGCTTGAATGGTTTGAGACATCACAGCATGAAGGTCCACATTCTAGAAGTGCTTCCTCTGTATGGGACTTTATAAATACAATTCCTCAGGACTAAAGAAAGCTGGAAAGATGATCTCCAAATTTTGGGGGTGGGCTGGTCTTCATTTTTATTTTTTACTGACCGGTAACGGGATCGCAACCCTCAGTGTTGCGCCCGCACCGCGCTCAGCCAGTGAGCGGGAACTGATATCCACATGGGATCCGAACCCTCAGCGGGAGCGCCACCACGCTCCCAAGCGGCGCACTCTCCGGTGCGCCACCGGGCCAGCCCTTCATTTTTATGTAGTTTATTTAACATAACTGATTTTGCCCCAAGAATAAGTGTATTTCAGTCCAAGCTACTTAGAATATTTTTAATATTTGTTGTCCTGGGACTTCTGTCCAATACCCCTTTTTTGCTGCCAAATGTGCTCAACTTATTAATCATCTTTGTGCTGCCTCTGCCTGCCAGAGAAGTCTGGCACTATCAGTATCACCCTTGAAATTTGAACAGTGTCAGCCAGGGCATCTCTTTCTGGTATTAAACATTCTGCTGCCTTTGCTCATAATGAGCAGGGTATGAAACTGAACTCACCTTGCCTTGCATAGTCCATGGAAGATGGGAGAGCTGAGGGAGTTCATCCTCACCTCTTCACACATCAGTAACGGAAAAGCCTCAGCACTGTGTGATCAGATCAGCGGGTTAAGACTGCTTCTCTAACATAAAGGCATTGACTCTAAGGAACATGCTCAGTTTTCAACAAACCTTCTAATATACTCTCTTTCTGTTGAAAGTCTTTGGATTCATTTCCTGACTATTAAAGAATAAGTTGTTCCATATTGAAAAGATGTTTTGGTGGAATTGGAAATAGTAAAGTAATTATGGCCAATTAGGGGAGTGATTAGAAGAATATGGTAGTAAATGAAAGACTTTTTCAATAATTTGGATCAAATGCCTTGAATTTTGTACTGCTATCCTAATGAAGAATGACAGATATGGGCCGGCCCATGGCTCACTTCGGAGAGTGTAGTGCTGATAACAGCAAGGCCATAGGTTCGGATCCCTATATAGGGATTGCCGGTTAGCTCACTTGGGAGAGCGTGGTGCTGACAACACCAAGTCAAGGGTTAAGATCCCTGTACCAGTCATCTTTAAAAAAAAAAAAAGGGCCAGCCTGTGGCTCACTCGGGAGAGTGCGGTGCTGATAACACCAAGGCCCCGGGTTCGGATCCCATATAGGGATGGCCGGTTAGCTCACTGGGTGAGCGTGGTGCTGACAACACCAAGTCAAGGGTTAAGATCCCCTTACCGGTCTTCTTTTTTTTTTTTTTTTGTCTTTTTGTCTTTTTTCA